AAAAAGAAAGAGGAAAATAGCAAAACCCGAACCCGACCCGAACCCCGACCCGAAATAACCGGGTACCCGGTTGCCGGGTACCCGGTTATCTCGGGTCGGGTTCGGGTAATGTTTTTTTTGCAAAAGAACCCGAATAACCCGACCCGAATAACCCGAATAACCCGACCCGACCCGAATGCCCACCCCTAACCGTTGGGGGTTATATGGAAAGTATAAGGGGTTGTGTGCACAAAGTTCAAACTACAGGGATTATGTGCATAAAACTCAAACAACAGGGAGTTGAGTGCTATTTACTCCAAAATTAATAATTTTATCATTGACTTTAGAATATTTGGATTCAAAATTTGAAAATTATTAATTCGTTCAATTCTGCAATAAATTTTTAATTATTGAAATAAAATCCGAGTATTTTATACCAAACATTTAAAGATCTTCACTATATACTATAACAAATTTCAAAATTCTTCATTAAGAAATAAAATAATCCTACCCAATTAAAAGGTGAGGGAATAAGTAACTATTTTACATTTCCATGTTTAATAATAAAACAGAAATAAAAAAATAAAATTAAATATGCGTTTTGTGTCCCAGGAATCTATTTCTGGAACTCTATATATATATAATATAATAATCTGAACAAAATCTTCAATTCTGAGCTCTGACCATCACCACCACCTCCTTCGCTGCACAGTACAACAGTACTGTATACTCTTCCTCCCCCATTTGAATTACATACAATTTTCTATTTCTATATATATTTAATATTTTTTTCTCCCTAATAAATAAATAAATAATAATAATATAGTAATTAGGGCATTACTGCTCTCCCTCATCTCTCGCACGATTCCCACTATCTTCTTCACCAATCATCATAAATGCCTTCCAATTTTCATACAGCAACAGAGGCATAATCATATGCAGTAACACGAGCGCGTTTTGTATTTCTGTGTGTGTGTGTGTGTGTATAAATCAATCGAGGTAATTTTAGAGAGAGAGAGAGGGGTTTTTGGTTCAGTGGTTTTTTGTTTGATACTTTATTTGTTAGAGAGAGAAGTGAATGGCGGTGGTGGTAAAGCGGAGGTGGCGGACGTTTCTGATTCTGCGGCGGATGCTAATGTGCGCCATCGGGGTTATAGGTCTGATTGCACTCATTTCCGTACACGTCGAAGAAGTTACCAAGTTGCCCGCTGATTCTTCTTATAAGCTCCCTACGGTCTGCTTTCGCTTCTATTTTTTTTTATCTTATTTGGTTGTATTTTTGAACGAACTTTGGTAACTTCTTAAAGACTGATTTTGATCTCTCTGTTCTGTAATCTGTAATCTGTTTCCCCATTTTTGGTTTTTTGGTAATTATTCTTATTCCTAGGTGCATTCATGGGTTTTAATTTAAGTTGAATATGTAGCCGACTAAGAAAAAGCTAATTCATTAGTTTTTGATGGTAGATTTTTGTTCTTTAGTAAATTTTTGTTGAAATGTTTTTTGGTTATGTCAATCTAAATC